ACCTCCTCCCAGTGTGAGCCAGGTGTCGCGGGATGACCCAGACTACCGGGACCAGGTGGCTGCTGCGGTCAGCCCGCGGTCAGCGAGACAGACCCAGCTCTTCCACCAGGACAACGGGCAGCCCACGAAGAAACCCTCTCAGGCTCCGCGGGCCTCGGCCAAGAAGGAAACAGGTCAATGACTCTTTTTTTTCTGCCCTGCTCGTAAACTCGGACTCTGTTGTTGGTTGATGGGTGCTCTGGTTTGGTTTGCTTCTTCTTTCCCTTCAAACATCTATCGTCTTTATCTCCCCTCTTTCTTTTTTTGTGTTTGTTACTTTCTTGTAACACCTCTAATCTTCAGCATTTATATGACCGTATCGTGTTGCAAGTGCTGTAAAACTTTTACTAAAACTAAAACTCTTGACTCAGATATCATCAGTCAGAACAGTTCTATCTAAATTGTGTCGATGGAGGTGTAAAAACATCAACATTTGAATTTTAAAATCCTTTCACTCTCTATACTATCTGTGAGAAATGTCCCCACGGGTTTCTCTCTAGTTATGTGAAATGTTCCATCATGCCTTTCTCAGAGGGGGCTCTCGAGGCTTAGAGGTTAAGGTGTTCGCCTCTCATTCAAAGGTCCCGGGTTTGAATCCGGATAGAAACAAAAAATTTTCTTCTCTAAAATTGTCCCTTTTCACCTCCTTTCCTGCTCTCTTGCAATGTTCTGTTGTCTGCTTTCGTCTCCACTTTCTGCCCCCACCCCCTCACCACCTTTGCCCCCTCCTCTTGGCTCCCGACTCTTTCTGCAGCCTTTCTACTGCTTCTCCTTGGCTCCTTCTTACTGCTGTCTTTTAGCCACACCCCTGATCTTCTGGTAAAAAAATCTACACCTAGCCTTCTTAGACAAGGGCGAAAAACCTCGTAGGGCACGTGTGCAACAGAGAACCTTGGCGCTCATATGCCCGTGTGCAGTTGCAAGTGCCGTAAAACCTCTACTAAGTATAAATGATATATATATAAAAATGTGTTGCTCTCTATCTGTATGAAATTATGTCCGTCGTGTGCTGCTCTCTGTCTGGGACGTCACCATCATATATGTCACGACGCGGTGGAATCAGGCGCTCGTCAATTTTGGGGCATACAAAGTTATTGTTATCACCTTAAAGCTTGTCCATTTGCTTTGCTTTTGATGGAAAAAGTATCCTTTTATCTTGAATAAAGTTATCTTCAAAGCTTGAGAATTCGTGGAAACAGAAAATGTCCATCTATTATGCCTTTAATCAGTGTTTTTCAGTAAAATCCACACAGAAATGTGTTCTTTAATGAGCATGAAAAGTGTTGAGCCAAAAAACGAAAATTCGACAAAAACTTTCATACCTGCGGAAAAATGCCAGTTTCCTTTACTTTGATTATTTTGACGAGCGCCTGATTTCACCATGCTGCCTCACATATTCTATCTCTGATCAAAGGTCTCCATTATCATGGGCGGTTGGTGGGTGCTCTGGTGTGGTTTGCTTCTTCTTTCCCATCAAACATTTATCGTCCTTATCTCCCCTTCTTCTTTTTTATGTTTGTTACTCTCTTGTAACACCTCTTATCTTCTGGCGCTCATATGACCTTATGCAGTTGCGAGCGCCGTAAAACCTCTACTAAAACTAAAACGGTCTCCATTATGTCGTTCTCTGTCTGTGTGAAATGTTCCCATAATGTCGTGCTCATTCAGCGTGGAATGCAGGTGGTTGTATAACATGTCATCTTTGGTAGGTCCTGTTTTTTTCCCACTTGGCCTCTATTTCTTCTTGTTTCTCCCCCCCACCCCCCCACCCCCCCACCCCCCCACCCCCCCAGTTCTGAATGGCCGGCCGTTCATTACTTTAAAAATATGGACTCCGAATGCCACCCATCATTTTCAGTCCTTTTCAAAATGCCCCTTTCTTGATGCTTTACTCCTGTTTGAAAAGTTAATTTCTATGTTTTCATCACGAGTGGAAGGTCTCCTTTCATAAGATTTACTGCTGTAAGAAAAGTTCCTTTCTTTATGTTTGTGGGTGGTTGGCGGGTGCTCTGGTGTGGTTTGCTTCTTCTTTCCTATCAAACATCTATCGTCCTTATCTCCCCTCCTTTTTTGTTTGTTACTCTCTTGTAACACCTCTAATCTTCTGGCACTCCTATGACCTTATGCAGTTGCGAACGCCATAAAATCTCTACTAAAACAAACATCTATCGTCTTTATCTCCCCTCCGTGGGTGGTTGGCGGGTGCTCCGGTGTGGTTTGCTTCTTCTTTCCTATCAAACATCTATCGTCCTTATCTCCCCTCCTTTTTTATGTTTGTTACTCTCTTGTAACACCTCTAATCTTCTGGCACTCATATGACCTTATGCAGTTGCGAACGCCATAAAATCTCTACTAAAACAAACATTTATCGTCTTTATCTCCCCTCCGTGGGTGGTTGACGGGTGCTCCGGTGTGGTTTGCTTCTTCTTTCCTATCAAACATCTATCGTCCTTATCTCCCCTCCTTTTTTATGTTTGTTACTCTCTTGTAACACCTCTAATCTTCTGGCACTCATATGACCTTATGCAGTTGCGAACGCCATAAAATCTCTACTAAAACAAACATCTATCATCTTTATCTCCCCTCCGTGGGTGGTTAGCGGGTGCTCCGGTGTGGTTTGCTTCTTCTTTCCTATCAAACATCTATCGTTTTTATCTCCCCTCCTTTTTTATGTTTGTTACTCTCTTGTAACACCTCTAATCTTCTGGCACTTATATGACCTTATTGCGTTGCAAGTGTCGAAAAACTCTTATTTAAAAAAAAGAAGAAAACAAAGTTCCTTCTTTTATGTTTTCTTTCAATATGAAATGTCCCTATCTTTGTATTTAATTTTTTGTGTTGTTTTTTTCCCAGCTAAGGGGAAGAGGCCGACTGGCGGGAAAGGAACTCTGAAACGTAAACAAGAAGTTCGCAGCATGCTGGACGCCCAAAACCAGGACTACGAGGACAACCTGTTTGAGGGGACGCCTTTTGCCAGCCGGAGGTCACACTCGGCCGTAAGTGTTAGTTTAGTTTAAGTAGAGGTTTTACGGCGCTCGCAACAGCATAAGGTCATGTGAGCGCCAGAAGATTAGAGCTGTTACAAGAGAGTAACAAACATAAAAAAGAAGAAGGGGAGATAAGGACGATAGATGTTTGATAGGACAGAAGAAGCATACCGCACCAGAGCACCCTCCTACCACCCACTGGCCGTAAGTGTGCACTGTGGGTGGTTGGTGGGTGCACTGGGGTAGTCTGCTCCTTCCTTCCTTCCTTCCTTCCAATCAAACTTTTGTCATCCCTATCTTTTTCTGTGTTGCTTTCTTGTAACACCTCTAACGTGGGTGGTTGACGGGTGCTCTGGTGTGGTTTGCTTCTTCTTTCCTATCAAGCATCTATCGTCTTTTTGTCCCCTCCTTCTTTTTGTGTTTGTTACTCTCTTGTAACACCTCTAATCTTCGGCACTTTATATCATGACCTTATTCTGTTGCAAGTGCAGTAAAACTCTTACTAAAACTAAGAAACAAACACCTCTAACCTGTTTTTTGCATTTGTGCACTTGACTGACCCCTGTTCTCCTATTGTAATTTGTCCTGTCATTCAAGACCCTACCCCACAGGGCGGTGCTGCTGAACTGAAGTGTCTTTAGGCCATTCTCAAAGGGGGGGACATTAACATGTTCCTATGCACAGTAGAATTGTAATTGTAAATGGGCTGATTCATCAATGTCATGCTCATTACTATGCCTGATCTACAACAGGGAACTGCTGCTTTTTCTTTCCTGATCCTTACTGTTGTCATTTCCCTCTACTTCTTTTGTATGTTTGTCACACTCTTGTGACCTGCTATTTCCGGGGTGCCTTGATAGTGGAAGCAGACCTTGTGCTGTTGAAGCTAGAGAGGTGAGCAGTCTAAGTCTGATTCCCTGTAAAGACTTCTCTGTTGACACCCACCCCTTGGCGCTCATATGACCTTGTGCTGTTGCGAGCGCCGTAATACCCTCTACTATAAAAAAACAAACCAAAAAAAAAAAACATCTCGAGTTGCGAGAGCCGTAAAAACTCTACTAAAACGAAAAAGTACACACATGACAGTCTTTAATTGTCTGATCTACACCTGTGACGAAGCTCCTAACACAAACATATGATATTGTTTTTGTTTTGTGTGTCTGAATAAACATACTGTTCATTGCCCGTGTGGGAGTATTAATTCTCTTTAGTTTGGGTAGAGGTTTCACGGCGCTGGCAACTGCACAAGGTCATATGAGCTCCAGAAGACTAGAGGTGTTACAAGAGAGTAACAAACATAAAAAAGAAGAAGGGGAGATAAGAAGGATGGATGTTTGATAGGAAAGAAGAAGCAAACCACACCAGAGCACCCGCCCACCACCCACATTAATTCTCTAAATTAGCTAATAATTTTCATTCATTAATTTTACCCGATGTGCCAATTTTTAGGATAAATACAGAAATCCAAATTTCTGAAATGGTCCGGATTTTGCACATTCTGTAAAATATTCTAGATTCAAGATGTATTAGACAATGTGATTGGGATATTTCGGGTCTCTCAGTGTTTTTGTTCATAGTCTTAGTGACATAGTCAGTAACAGTTGATGCGTTTAATTTACAAAGTCCAAGAAAAAAATGTGGCTTATTAGTTGCAGGATGGGTGCCATTTTTTACTTCCTGTGGAGACGAACTTAAACAGGTTAAGTGTCAAAATTTGTAAGCAATTGATGTATTCTATGCTACAAAAAGTGCACACCTGTCAAATACTCTAATAAAATCGGAGCCGTCTGATTTTTTAAAACTCTGATGATTTTTTGGAATGGTGTTTCTATAGGTTGTATGCGACTTTGCATAAATAATGTGAAAATACACATTTTTAATTGCATTTGTATGCAATATTTGCAGAATTTCTCATGAATGATGCGAAAAGACATCTTGTTATTTTTGCCTGTATGCTACCCCTACTAGAAGAACATGTTTATTTGCCACGATCATTTAGTAATGTAATACATGTATTTAATCTATTGGGGTTCAGAAAACTCTTTGATTTTTTTCCCAGAGCCCAAATTTTTAGGGAGTATTTTGAGGAAAACTTATATTTTTGGTCATAGAGAGGTAGGCGGGACCGAAAGTTATTTGCCAAAAATCATTTTTGTCTTTTCAGTAGACGGACTACAGTACACTCTGTACTATTGCGCTGTGTCGTGATGAATAGTTGGCGGGTGCTGGGGTGTGGTTTGCTCCTTCTTTCCTTTCAAATCTTTATTGTCTTTATCTCTCCTCCTTTTTAGTGTCTGTTTGCTACTCTCTCGTTAAAGTTATATCTCTAATCTTGAGCATTTATATGACCTGATGTGTTGCAAGTGCCGTAAAATTCTTACTCATCATCATCTTCAAGTGCCAGATCTGTGGCAGACATCGACGATCATGGTTCTGCCTTCATACTTTTGCTCAGCTGCTCTAAAAAAAAAAAGCTACGCTTCCCTGATCTTTCTCCGTTACCCATTTCTTTTGATTTTCTATGTAGGTTGCTCTGGGCCTACCTACCCCTACCTCGTTTGCCTTCAGTTTTGCCAGTGGGAGCTAGATGTTCAAGATCTTTATGTCTATTCAGGTGTCCCAAAAACTGCATTTGTCGTCTCCTGATTTTTTTAAAACAGTGAGCTTCCCACGTGGGCTTCATTAAGTACTACTCATTTGATGTCTTTTCCTTCCATGATAGTCTCAGCAGTCTTCTCAGAAACCACATTTCTGTTGCTTCTGTTTTATTTTCACTGTCTTTAGTAATTGTACAGCATTCACAGCCATATAGAAGGGTTGACCGTACATAGCATTTCAGAACTTTCATTTTGGTAGTCATTGAGATGTTTACATTTTTCACGATTGGGCTAATTTTATTGAAAGTAGCCTTAGCCATGTGGCGTGGTTGGCGGGTGCTCTGGTGTGGTTTGCTCCTTCTTTCCTATAAAACATCTATCGTCTTTATCTCTCCTCCTTTTTTATGTTTGTTACTCTCTTGTAACACCTCTAATCTTCGGCACATATATGACCTTATTGTGTTGCAAGTGCCGTAAAACTCTTACTAAAACTAAAGTCATTGAGATGTTTCTGTTTCTCAGGATTGGGCTCATTTTTTATTGAAACTAGCCCTAGCCGTTGCAATTCGTACTAAAACTAAATGACCGAGTGCGTCGTTTCGCTTGCTCCCCCCCAGGTGACTGGTATTGATTTCTCCAAGGATGACGCCGATGTCTTTGGAGCCAGGCACAATTTCTTCACGCCACTCTCTTCTAAAGACGGCACTGGCACTCTGAGCTCGCCGGGAACTGCACTCAAGGCCAAACTGTCGTCGGCAATGAAAAGGGCCACCCCGGGCCAGCTGTCAGCCGAGACACCTCTCTCCACAAACAGGTGAACGTGGGTGGTTGGCGGGTGCTCTGGTGTGGTTTGCTTCGTCTTTCCTGTCAAATGTCTATCGTCTTTATCTCCCCTCCTTCTTTTTTGTGTGTTTGTAACTCTCTTGTAGCACCTCTAATCTTCGCAACGTATATGACCTTATTGTGCTGCAAGTGCCGTAAACCTCTTACTAAAACAAAAAAAACAGGTGCACGGACTAGGAGACGTGGAAGAACACGTTATTCTTTCTTCCCTGTTCTCTCCACAACATAACGCTGTCACCCCCCCTC